ACACATCGTTATTTGGGAATCCCCCAACAGGGGCAGGGTCGCATTTGGTCGCTGGAGGAGAGGGGGGGTCGCATTTGCTCCGAGAAAAAACTTTTTTATAGTTGATTTTTCTTGTCTCAGGGACTTTGTAAAGGAGAAGGGGTATTCGCTCGTATTAATGTATTTGCTCTTTCGTCCTGACCTTCTGAGAGAGGTCGCTGACTTTTCGTGGATTTTCCTGTTTCATATGATTATATACTTTCTCCCTCGGCTCGACAGCAAAATTTTTGGGTAAAAGTAGGAAAATTTTCGGGAAATTTCGGAGAAAGGAAATGGGGAAAACTGAGAAGTGGTAGAGAGTGGGTCGTATTTTCCGCGCGGTTTTCCCGTCTCACATGTGCTATCTCTTCCCCCCCCCCCCCCGCTCGACACCTTTAATGAGGAGGGAGAACCAGGGAGCGGTCGTGCGGACTCGACCAAAATCCCCAACTAGTGATGTGCCCTTACAGAGACTTTTGATGGGGGTACTGGAGCGAAGGGCAAGAGCATAAAGGAATAAAGGACTCTGTTCTGCCAAGGCAAACTGCAACGAAAACATGTCGTAAGCCGAGGGGTGGGCGCGCAGCTTTAAGAAGAGCCAAGTCCTGGGTGAATGAACAACTTATCAAGCGTGGAAAGTTGGAACGAGTAAGGCCAAATCGACCAAAGAAGTAATCTAAGTGTAAAAGAGCAGAGAAAACAGAAAAGGGCGCCATTAAAGGTTAGGGTTCAAGATGTGTGCTGTATCTGAAATCACACAAGAGGCTGAAGCTCATTGCAACTCACCGAAAGACTGGAACGAGTCAGCATCGGCGATCTGATCTGATGGCAGCTACCGTACACTCGGGGACCCAACCTCATCCAAAGCCATCGAAGCCCTCTTTCCCTTGTGACCAGGGAGCTGACGACATAGTCGCTCTGATTTGGCCCCGTGCACAGCCCGGCCTGGGAATCCGGGATGGAGCCGAAAAGGTGGCAAATCTGGAGAACCATATGTGAGTCGCGTAAGAACAGCAGTGAGGGCTCCATTGCTCTCTTCAGCAGAGCATGCAGGAAAGAGTGAAATGGCAATGTCATTACGACCCCTCCCTCCAAACACTCGACCCCCTCCCATTTACCAGTTGACCAACTTTTCGCGAAATTTTCTAGCCGAGAGCGGGGGGGCGCAGTGGCATAGCTCGATCTTGTTATCAGACAGTGGTAGTTTCATCGCGTTGTTAAAAAGAAAAGGGAAAAGCTGCGCGTTAAAACCGTCAAAAGAGAGCCCATGCGGAAATTCTCCCAAAGACAAATGTAACTATTTATGTAACCCTCGCGACCAAATAAGATCTTGGATTCGCATAACGATGAAGTGCGCTTCTCTTAAGACTCCGGCTCCTGAACTAGAACAGCACTGACTGCTCGAACAGACCCTTCTGTGGCAGCGCCCGTGCCCTCCCGCCGTTTAAAACGCGTGGTCGGCGAAAGTGCACGATGCGATCGTCGTCAATGACTTGTAGAGGCACGGAACGCCTGCAGGATTTTTTTGCAACATACGATCCTTTTGACTTTCTTCCTCTGGTAGGACACCCCCTCTCCTGAACTTTCTAAACTTATTACCCCTTTACCTGCAAAAAACCTGCCTTAGAGCGGGGGAGTGAAGGAAGTGGTAGAAGGGAGGGGGAATAAAACGCTCTTGAGCAAAAACCGACAAAATCAACAAACGAACACATTTTTCTCAGAGGCAAATACGACCCCCCCCCTTCCAGCCACCAAATGCGACCCCCTCGCCGGGGAGGGATCCCCAACGTTTGATGTATCCTGTGCGGGCGTCAACCGGTGCCAGTAATGGCAATATTAATTAAGTGTTTTTGTCCAGACAGGTCGTCATTCTCTTGGATAGGAAGTAAGCCAGGAATAAGCCTTTTTTGCATTTTTTTGCATCAAATCGCCCATTACACTACCCCGTGTACATTTGAACGTTATTGGAAGTCCCGCCCCAGACAGCCACGCCCCCTTCCTTCCGCCTGCAGTGTAGTACATTCACATTTCACACACTTTACTCTATAAATTCTATATATGCACCAGATTTCCACAATTTCACTATATCACACATAAATATTGTGTAATGGACTTTTATGTAGTGATACATATGGCTGCCCCCCCCCCCCTCGACGACTCCGCTTACTTATTAGAGGATCATTGAACACTTTGCCGCATTCTGACATCATTCAGCAACTTCCTTTTTCAGTGGACTTTCCACAGATATAATGGGAATATAGGGTGCAGCTTTTAGACTACCAACACTGAACTCCGGCCACACACTTTTTGAGACATTTTTTTGTTTCTTTTTTTTGCAGAATTTCGCCTAAAATGTTGACAAAAATCCCAAAATACATTCATAAAATGCATGTGTGGTAACAGATGGAGGGCTCGATTGGCTTTGAGGGATCCAGCTTAGGATTCCCTTAGTGTGCTGAGCGGCGCCTCTCGCCACTACACTACCTCTGACCCCTGCACTGATGCGATAAAATTATTTGCGTAAGCTTTGCTCTCTGGTCAACAAGCAACTGTCGCTGCAGCAACTTTCGCAGCATTCCTTCAATCATTTCTCGATGACGTCATCGATTCATGAATACAAAGTTAAAAATGCAAGCGATTAACAACCAGCAGAGAGCTGTTATTTCGCATTCACGTCACAGAAAGCGCCAGAGAATTGAGGCGAGATGCCACGGGAAAAGTGGAGATGGCCGGGCTGCAAAACGGGGCGAGACGATCGGTGGAGCTGAGAGAACGCTGCAGCGCCCAGGCAGGGCGGAGCGGGCCAAAGCGCTGGCTATCGGGCCGGAGGCGACGACGGTTCCAGGCTTTGATGACATCGATTCTGAACCCCATGTGTATGTGTATTGCCAGACGATTAGCCAGACAGCTTCCGGTAATTCTCCACTCGAACGTCTTTCTTCGGCTCCCAACATTCGCTTCAGTACTAGTAATTATAGCCCATCTCTTCTGGGATTTCCCATTCCGATGATGTCATTCGGTTGCAAGCCGTGTGTAGGTGCCCTTTGTGGGGCATCTTCAGCGAGGCTATATTTGCTCATCTGATGACGTCATCTGAGGACGCATTTCCTCAGAAGGCTTCAGAGGACCGCTCTTTTCTTAGCCT